ACCCTCCCCCTCAAATCCCCGAAAGTTTCTCGGCAGATTTGGGCTGTATTTTTGAAAAAGAATCAGTGGATGCACTGGATGTTTTTTTGTTTGTTTTTTTTCCTTGACTGGTCGGCCCTACTGGTGCTGCAATACGGTCGGCAGTCGGGGTCGGCGGTCAGCAGGGATGCAACCTTGCTGTGGAGTGTAATTCTATGTTCCCGTGCAGAAAACCCTGTTGAGATTCACAAACAACAAAAACAGGTGACTATTGAGGCATACAGCCGTTGATCATCAGAGAGCCCTTTGGGCCCAAGTTTGGGGTGTGTTTTGCTGAGGGGTGAGCAATACAGTAGCTGGTCCCAGAGGTGGTTGAAGGGCAACAATGCAGGGGTTTCCTGCAGGGGATGGGGATGTGGGCGTGGAGGGGAAGGAGGATCATTATGAGGGTGGGGAGGGGGGTTTGTTTTTTGCACTGAAAAGCGTTAAAACCGTAATAAAACTCCATAAAACTTGATAAACGCTTATTTTGTCGAACCCTGTTGTTCGGGTGGCTCTGGAGGTCCTTTACCTTGGCCATCAGAGCAGGAACCTGACGTTTTCCATTTCTCGACCAGTTCGGTGAGTACCAGCAGACTCACAGTTGTGTGTCGTCATGTTCGCTATACAAACTCCATAAAGGAAAGGATGACTGTGCGAGAGACCGCACCGGTTTGTCGGACTTTCACCGACTCGTCAGGAGTTTTGAACCCCGACAGTCTGACCAGGATGCATCTAACTGATGGATACGGACTCGCCACGTCACCCAGAGTTAGCGATACCCATCCTTGAGAGAGAAAAGTGGTCGAATTTACTCCCACCAACCCTGGATTCGTAGCAGACTGTCTGTCGGTCCAAATGCAATGACTTGCTGATTTCTACTGCCAAGACTGTCTGCGAGGCTGTATACTAACCTGTAGGGTTAGATTCGGTTGTTTGGCTGAGGGCTAACCGAGAGACCTGCCTGTAAGGAAATTCGTGACGGACAGATCAAATCTGGGAAAATACAGGCCCAGTACTAACCCGAATTCCTACAGCTACCCTAACTGCCTATAGCAGGCCCGGGCTACCCCTAGGACAGAGAGGCCCTAAGCGGCCTATACTGCTAGACGGTCCTATAGCCTATAGCCGGGTCCGGTAGAGGCCGAGAGGCCGAAACAGCAACGGTACCGGTCGGTCAGTCAGTCCAGTCTAGGTCTAGAGAGTCTATAGATAGGTTAGGCCCATCGGTTCAGGACTTTTGGCAGCTCATTTCTTGCGAAGCAGCGTTGGAGAAGCCAAGCGAGTTGGTGGCGGTACCTGTCTACAGGCGGCATCCTGAGACACGCCATAACAGCCGCCATAGACGGCCCTCTCTGAGGCTGCCATAGCTGGGGCATCCTCAGCGCATCTACCCCTGGGGGTATCTGCGTATGGCCAGGCTGTATCGAGGCTCTACAGTGGTGGTTCGTGGGTGGTGGCAGCCATAGCTGCCTGTTCCTTCGTCAGAGTTGTCCATCGGCACTGAAGACTTCATCGCAGGACCTGTTCTTCATCAGGGTGGTTGGCGCTAGCCTTTGGGAGGCTGTTCTGATGCAGCGCTACTAACTGGGTGTAGGATAGAGAGTGGGGTGTGAGTTCTGAGTGTGGCAAGATACTGGAACAAACTCTGTTACGATAATTGTGTGAGTGGCTCATCATCAGTGACATTTTCAATTGTGATCTTCGCAGGTTCTTTCTTGTGATTGGTTGTTGGGAGTTGTGTCAGAGAGGGAATTGTGATCTTCGCAGGTTCTTTCTTGTGATTGGTTGTTGGGAGTTGTGTCAGAGAGTGAGAAACATTGTGTGTGTCTTCTCCCCAGCTGTGCATGATTGTCTTCCACTGCTTATCTTCACCTGTGTGCAGTTTGGACTCTGTCTCCTCTCTCCCCTTCTCTTATGCATGTATGGGCATGTGTGAGACTCTGTGTGTGAGTGGCGAGAACATTCGTCAGACAACCAAGTTCATAACACAAACCCCTGACAAGAACGGCAGTCAGTCTGAGAAACTCGTGTGACACATCCATAAAACCCACTTTACAGAGTACATAGTACATACCCATTCAGCCATGGATACCCAATGGCACGACCGCTACCGGTAGTACGGTCCTAACCTTAGCCACACAGGTCCACCTGAACGGAGAGCTTGGCGAGGTCGTGTTGTGATTTGTCATGCTCACTGCGTGTGGTGTGTGTGGTGGTGGCGTGTCTGTTGGGGGGGTGGGGAGGCGGGGGGGCGTTGGGCGCTGAGGCATCATCCTTTGTGGCCCCTCTCTGAGCTTCCCTTTGCATGCGATGCTGCTCCTTTTTGTTTTTGTTTTTCTTTGCGTTCACTCCTGCTCTTTTACTCGGAAGCTTTTCATAGCTAGATCTTTAGGACTCAGCCGAAGCCGGGTAGTGGCCCCGGTATGTCAATGATTTGTAAACAGTACATGAGGGACGCAGCGCCCGGCTCCCAGCACGTGTTGCTCCGCACAGATAGATTGAAGCAATGTTTCTTCGGGGGGAAAACAAAAGAAGGAGGCTAAGTTACTAACATAGCCTCTTTTATTCTCATATTTCTTCTTCTTCCTTTTCGCGCACTTCTGTACATTCTGATGGTTTTAACTTTTAACTCGAGAAAATGGATGAAAAATGTTTGCAGTACCTTTCTCAGGTTCTTGGCTAAAAATAGAGCAAGTGACAAGTTTAGTACTTGTTCTCAACTTCTCATCAGCTTGATATCTGATACATAGTCCATCCAGTTTCACTTCTGAATGTTCTGATGGTTTCCTAGTGCCACTCACCGTCTTGGACAGAAGATCAACAATCTCTGTGATAGCTTGGGACTGCACTATGTAACCTGTGTGTGTGTGTGTGTGTGTGTGTGTGTGTGTGTGTGTGTGTGTGTGTTGTC